CATCCTGTCACTCTTTGTGGCCTCATCAGAGATTACACGTCTTCCAACTGCTCTTCCAGAACCATGTTGCTGCTGGGTCAAAAGGTGGTCATTTTGCTGGGCAATCTACATGTACAGTTGAAGTCAGAATTATTAGCCCCCCTTTTTATCCCCCCCCTAATTTCTGTTTAACGAAGAGATTTTTCTACACATTTCTAAACATAATAGTTTTAATAACTCATCTCTAATAACTGATTTATTTGATCTTTGCTATGATGACAGTAATCATATTTTACTAAATATTTTTCAAGACACTTCTATACAGCTTACAGTGACATTTAAAGGCTTAACTAGCTTAATTAGGTTAACTAGGCAGGTTAGGGTAATAATGCAAGTTATTGTATAACGATGGTTTGTTTTGTAGATTATTGAAAAAAAAATAGCTTAAAGGGGCTAATAATTTGACCTTAAAATGTTTTTTTTTTTATTATTATTAAAAATTGCTTTTATTCTAGCTGAAATAAAACAAATAGGACTTTCTCCAGAAGACAAAAAACATTATCAGACATACTGTGAAAATTTACTGAGTTTGTTAAACACCATTTGGCAAGTATTTAAAAAAGAAAAAATATTCAAAGTCAGGCTAATAATTCTGATTTTAACTGTATATATGATACCAGACTTGATTGATTAAATAGATGATGCAAACTGTATAGCAGTTAGAGGTCATTTACCAATTTACCAGACATCACAAACAATGTCAATATCAGATATTTATGGTGTAAATATAGAAATGTTTGATAACTGAATAAATTGTTATGATGGCTTACATGATTAAAAAATGATTGACAAGTTGTGAAGAGTTTAAATGAGAATCGACTTATCAGTTTTGATCAACAAGCCATATGTGAGTAGTTTTTGTCCAAACTAAAGCAATTGAAAACCAAAGCATTTGAAATGTACTCAAATCAATAAGAAATGCCAATCTGATGTGAACAATAAGCTAATTGTTCAGAGATCTAAACTTATTGTTTTGAAAAATAAAAGCTTCAATCAAGAATTGAGCCAAAGAAATTGAGAAAAACTGTAAAACAAAAAAAAAATGCTAATAAAAAGTTGCGAATAACGGACCATATTAAAATTCATTTGAACAATATGGCTGTTGTTGTTGTTATCCAATTTTCTAATCTACTTTTTTATGAGAGGCTAAAATATTGTGAATCTCTACTTTAATATTATTATTGTTGTTGTTTTTTAAAGTTTTTAAAAGTTTTTAAATTATTATTATAATTATTAAGTTTATCATTCAAATTTCCACATTCTGACTAAACTCTGGCGAGTTTGTTACTTGCATAATAAACGACAATAGGCCACAGACTTTAACAGATTTGTATTTATATAAGCAGTAGTGTAAAGTAACTAATTACAAGTACTCAAATGACTGTAATTGAGTAGTTTTTTCGGGAATTGTAATTTACTAAGTAGTTTTATACTTTTACTTCCCTTGAGTACATTTTGGAGCTGTATTGGTACTTTTATTCCACTACTTCAACCTGCAGTCACTACTTGATTTTTTTCTCATCTATGGGGATTAGAAAAATCAGTCCTGTGATTCCTGTCCGATCAAATCACGTATAGAAGTTAAGTCGCAGCATAATAAACTACCTCTAGACATGGGTGATTTATAATTGCAGAAAACTGCTTGGAAGCATTAAAAGTGTCCAAGAACGTCAGGCGCCATCAATGTCCAACGTTCAACTGCAAATCAACCAAACATCAACATCTAATGATGTTAAAGCTTGACACTGTGTGGATGTTACCACTATGACGTCTATCAGATTTTGGATTTTTATTGTCGTACCTGATGAATAAATGTCAATATTTGACGTCAATATGACGTTGGATTAAGGTGTTGGCTCAATGTTAGATTTTGGTCACTTTCCAACACAACCTAAAATCAACGTCATTTGACGTCATTATTGGACATCACAATTACGTCCTTAGACGCTGGCTAGCCATTGAATTTTGGTCACCTAAATCTATTTTGGTCACAACATAAATCTATCCTAATATTAACGTCTTATGATGTTGTGTGCCTGCTTGGGCAATCACTAGATGCACTACAGAATGTTACGTTTACACACACTTGCAAAAGTTTATTTAAACCCATCAGTTTTGTCACAGCGTAATACTCACTACTCGAGTACTTTTGTAAAGGCTACTTTTTACTCATACTTTGAGTAAAATATAAAACAGATACTTTTTCTCTACTTGCACTACATTTTTAGGCAAGTAATGGTACTTTTACTTATGATTTTTCAGTACTCTTTCCACCACGGATATACGATGTAATAAATTTGTATTTATATAAACAAGTCTTTTCATATTTCTTTATTGTAAACCTTTAAGAAATATTTTTAATACATTAAAACTGTGGTAATGATGACCATACAACAATTTAATTCAGCTAAAAGTTGTGCTTAAAAATGTGACTAAAATGCAGTGTTTAAACCTCATAATTGAATAGAAAATGAGGCGTATGACTGCAAAAGGATCCACTTTTTGAGCAAAAAGAACCCCGTCTTTTACCAGGCAGGCTACGGGCCTGTAATGTTAACCAAAATGATTAACAGTCCAAGTTAGCTGCCTCACTCATCACAATAAATAAAACCACTCATCATCATCATCACGAAAGGATAACCCTTTATTTCATTCTTCATATTTACAGCTTTATAGACATTTTAAACATTTGATACTCTGAAAAAAAAGATTGCCTGATAGTACTGATTTGTCCACATATTCAAGTTTTCACACTTTAAATTGAACCAAAAAAAAATAAATTAAACAAACGCGCGCACACACACACTTCATTTTAAACACTAGTCCCAAAAAAGTCCCACACAGACTCAATGGCTCTGACATTGAAAGCACCAGGCTACTGCCTCTGAACGTGTGTGTTTATAGGGCCAGACATATAGAGCATATATATGTACAGTACACAGTCAAAAGAAGCTACACGGAGACTAAAGGCACTGGCAGCAGGAATAGAACATACGAGGCCCCTGCCGCTCGCTGAAGAGTGAATGTCTGCCCGTTTGAGAGCTAAACAGGCAGACTGATCCATATGGAGATTCAGGACTCTAAAGTGCCATATCTACAAACATACATGTTCCAGAAACTGCTTGCTGTTTTATTGAAATTCTGTGAAATTGTTTTATGGATCGGGACTTAAGGCAAGACACTGCAGGACAATAAAGACAAACAAAAAAGGTAACGGATTGATTACTTTAAGAATAGTCTACTTTTTTTGTATTACATAATTTTGAACAAGAGGATTTATGTTTAAATATACAAACGAGACATTATTTCATTAAATTATTATATATATATATATATATATATATATATATATATATATATATATATATATATATATATATATATATATATATATATCTCATCACCTTTTATCACTCTGTAATTCATGAAATACTGTGAAGAGACAAAAGAAATCTTTATTTGCAGAATAACAGTTTTTATTTGAACAGACACAATTAGCATGAACAAATCCCACTGTAAAAACCCTCAAAAATATCAATAAAACTGTTTGAATTTCTAAATTTTGGTGTAAGTGCTGCTGAAATGGAGATTCATAAAAGACTAATTTGGAGAAACCTTTAGCTGCAATATATATATTTTTTAAATCTACAAACAGAATTGATAAAGTGCGAAAAAAAAACACAAAGGTGTATTTTGTGTGTTTTCTGTACATTACTCATAATAAAATACTCTATGAAAGGCCAAATAACCTAAAAAAACATCATCAACAACAATAACAGGGTTCACCTGTAGTGTCTTGCCTTAAATGTGTTTGAAAGAGAGATGAGAAATGATTTATCAGTGCCTAAAACATCAAGCTGAATGTTCACAGTTATTCCAGATTACTGTGGAACAACACTTCAGTGCTTATTAATGATCTTCGTATGTAATTGAATTTCCTCTGTGTCACAGACACATTCAGTTCACATGCACCTCAGAGCTAAACAGAAGAATGCACATACAAAAATCCCTTTGAATGCATATTATGGATATGAAAAAAAAAATGGACCACTCAGTGGCCTGTGTTGGTGTGCAAATCCCCAGTCTATATTGGCATGGAGATATGAAAGCCCATTTCCACCACAAGTTATATGTTAATATAAATAAAGGTAATTGCAACTTTTCCCTCACAATTCCAAAATGTCAGAATTCTAGGCACATTTCACAAGTCTGAGTTTTTTATTTGCAATTTTGAGTTTAGATTTTGCAGTTCTGAGTTTATATCTCACTGAGTTTATACCCTGAAGTTTTGAGTTTATATCTCACAATTGTGAGGAAATTGAGTTTGAATCACAAGTTGTCCTGAAATCTTGTACTGTAAGATGCAAATTTGCATTCTGCAGTTTACAATTGCAAGAAAGTGCTAGAAATTCAGACAATAGTGTGATTAAAAAGTTGAAATTACAATTTTACTTTTGATTCCCCCAAAGCGGAAACAAGCAGTTACACAGAAAAAAAAGAAAAGAAAAGTGTAAACTATTTATTTGAGCTGGATTGAAACAAATAAATTAAGTAGAACATTACTAAATTTAATTTTTTGTTTAATTTGAACACATAAAAACTGTTTACAACAATTTGCAGACTTTTTTTTCAGTGGGGCGCTCAGTCCACCAAAGCTGTTTTTTCCAAGTTGAGCGTAACTTTTCAGTTGTTGTCAATGGAAAAGCCGCATTTGTGAAATGCTCAGAGTTGAAATAGCTCTTACAGCTGAGCGTTTTTGGAAGAGCTCTGGCATTTTCAGCTGCACAATAACTCTTTAAGGGATACGTGTCATTGTAGCTCATAAAAATCTGCAATTCTGAGAAGTTCATTTATTCATTTATTTTCTTTTCGGCTTAGTCCCTTTATTAATCAGAGGTCGCCACAGCGGAATGAAGTTCACCATCTGAGAAGTTCAGATAGAAACTATTTACAGATTCACCTTTTTTTTTTTTTTTTTTTACTTTTTACTTTGTGTCAGAAAACAACCCTCCAAAATAAACAAAGCGTTGTTAGAAGAGCTCTGGCATTTTCAGCTGCACAATAACGCTTCGATGGATACGGGTCAATTCTGCAATTCTGAGAAGTTAACAATTTACAAATTCACAATTTTTTGTTTTTTACTTTGTAAAAAGACAAGCTTCTGTATGATAATGTCTGCACTGCCTTGTAAAAGCTTTAAGTTATAATCACAATATAGAGAACTTTCTGTTTTCCTTTGGTGTAACACAGACTGAAATCCTCAAGGTTTGTTTCAGCTGAGCTCATCCTAATCAGACATGACCTTGTGTATTACATGATAAAAGCTGAAGCGACTGAGAAAAGCTCACCGGATAAACACAACCACAATCCTCAAAAAGCAGAGATCCGCCTGAGAGACTGAGCTGATCGCTCAATGCCGAGGGTTTACACAAGTTTTCATGGGACACCTGAATGTGAGATGGGGCTTTTTTTTTTTTTTAAAGAGTAGCTGTGTCCATGAAGGCTTTAGGCATTTTAAAATAGCTCTTTATATCCAGCAAGCACTTTTTCATTTTAAAAGATGTCTAATAGATGTCTAAACATAGTCATCTTAGCTAAAACAAGGCTAAGTTTGGGCTGTCTGTTAATATATATAAGACGTCTAAGAATAGGCCAAAACTAGACAAGTCATCAAATAGACATAAATGAATCAATACACTTATAAAGTTAGTTTATTTGACAACTAGTCTAGTTTTGGGTTATTCTTAGATGTCTATTATCTATATGTCTATAATATCTATATCGATTTTTACTGACAGCCCAAGTTTATTCTTGTTGTAGCGAAGCTGTCTACATTTAGATGTCTATTAAACACAGAATTGTTTGCTGTGTAGATATGGTAAACAGATGTTGGGCCTTCTTTTTTGAGATTTCCACCATTTTGATGATTTAAACTGAATTGTGAGAAAAGTTAAAATTCTGGGTTGTTTTTCACAATTTTATGTTAACATCAAGTAATTCTGAGTGAATCTCAGATCATTTTGAGCTCATATCTCACAATTTTGAGTTAAACTAGAGATATAAAGCCTATAAACTTTCAACAAAAATTGTCAATATATAAACTCAAAATGATAAGAAATTAAATCAGAATCTTCATGAATTTATTCATAATTCTGATGGAAAAAGGTGGAGAAAATGATATCTTATAAAAAAAGGATTATATCAGAAAGGCTGCGAGTTATATCGTACATTTCTAAGTTTATGTGTAAAATCTGGCCAAATAAAGGCCAGAATAGAATGATAGAAACTGTTTTGATCCTTTGAATGGAGATTGTGGGGTGAAATATTGAACAGTCTGGTGAAACATTGTCAGCAATACAGTACATTTATAGCTATATTAAGACAACCTCCAGTACAAATAGAATAATCCTTTTTGTTTGTAGAGTAGCATGTTCTAATAATCAGTTATAAAGTTTGTAATTTGATATTTGGATAAGGTTATTTGTCCTCCGATATCTCACAGGCGTCATATTTTCTATACAGTAAGTCTGTCCACTTCCTTTCTGGATCGGAAGTGCTGTTTTTTATTTTCCCAGCGCTCTTTCATTCAGATATTCCCTGATAGAGGACATGCAGTATAGACACAAGCTGAGAGACCCTAGGGAAAGTCATGCTTTAAGTAACACTTGCAGTAGCAGCAATAGCAGCAGCATATAATAAAAAGAAAACACAAATGGACGGAATTGAATGTAAAAACAACTAAAGAAACCCAATGGAATATCAAAAAGCTTGACTACCAGAAACAAACGTCTGGGCTTTCAACAGTGTGCCATGTTTTCCAGGAGAGAAGGAATTCTTCTTTAGCTCCAACCTCCTCTTCTTAGTCTTGTTCACGTCTCCATCGCTTCCCCTGTCTTTGAGGGTTAAAGGTCACTGAGTCGTGCTGGAATAAGTCCTGAGTGGAGGTGTTGTGAGTTGGTCTGCTGGGCGTCTGTTGGCTCAGTTTGGTTGTCCTCCATTAGCCTGGTTTGCTCTCCACCTCACCCAGAGCCTGTAGGAGTTTCTCTCTGTAAGTGGAGTAGCGCTGCTCCACCTGCCGCATGCGTTCCTTCTCCTCCTTCTCCAGGATGATCAGGAAGTTCTGCAGCTCCGGTACTGAGAACGCGTGCCACTGAAAGCACATTTAACATTAGTGAAGCCGCATGTAGGGAAAAAAAATGAAGTTTGTGCTTTGTTAACCGATTTATATTTAATAGAAGCTATTCATTATTTTTTGTAGAATTTATATGTAATAAGCTAATGTATATAATAATGATCATAATAAACTAATATTAGAAATCAGAATATAATTATATACGTGAATCATTAAAAAATGTCAATAGAAAAATTAAGCAGATTAAATAAACAACATTAAAATAATATTTGTATATTTACATGTTTATTTATTTATTTATTTATTTATTTTGCTTTGTAATATATAGATAAACAGAAAGACGGACGGACGGATAGAGACAAACTATATGTATACTTAAAGGGGCTAATAAATTTGACCTTAAAATGGTGTTTAAAATATAAAAACTGCTTTTAATCTAGCCTAAATAAAACAAATAAGACTTTCTCCAGAAGACAAAACAATTTCCTTGCTCTATTATACATAATTTGGAAAACATTTAAAAAAGAAAAAATTCAAATGAGGGCTAATAATTCTGACTTTAACTGTATTTATTTATTTATTTATTTAGCTTTGTAAATGTTTTACATATTTATGTGTTTATTTATGTAGATATTTATTTATTTATTTTGGTCTGTAAAATTCTAGTGACAACAACGGATCAAAATAGGTGTGAGATAAAAGAAGATTTATTTTTTGTTTACCTGTCTAACAATAACAATAAACACATATAATTGTTTTTAAAATACATATATATACATAGACACAATGGGTTTACTCATATTTTTTCAAAGAGTATCAAGGATTTTCTCAAGTCAACTTATTGCTTTTTTAGTCAACTAAACAAAATGTGTAACTGATCACTTATTGCACACACACGTTTGTGTATTTTATAGCAATGTATTTACATATTTGTTTTTTACAATGATAGCATCATCATTCAATGCATGAAAAGGTTTAAATATATTTCTGTAGTGTTTAAGTGGCAAAGGAAGAATCAGGTCACTGACAAAAGAACAAACATAAACAGTGGAATTATCAATTCTCACTCTTTAAAATACACATTACAAAGATTGTTTTATAATAACATTATGCATTACTAACGTTTATTAAAGTGTCTATATTTAGACAGAACAGAAAAGCTCACCTCCACCTCTCCAGTCTCGTTTTCCTTGAGTACAAAACTCAGATTGTCTAGATCTGGACCGGCTAACAGTCTCAAGTAGAGCGGGCAGTCTGATAAGGGCAACTTCTGGAAAAGATCTGACAAAACCAGCAAACAACACATTATTACCACATATGCTAAATGAAACGAAAGTGTGTTTCGTCTTCATCCGAGCACTCACCTTGGCTGTCCCGGCGGGTCAGGCGACAGAGGGCAAACTTGCGTGGATTGTCCTGTACCATGAACTTCTTCAGCAGGCCCTGAATGACCTCTCTGACCGTGGTGGTGCTGCTGATGTGGAGCTGTTTGACGGCATCGGAGGGCAGGTAGAAGGACGTGCGGTTATCCGAACCATCAGATGAGGAACACGGACCTGGTAACTTCCCGTCCACAGAAAGTACAGTCACGGGCCTGCGCAACTTCAAATGAACCTTGATGAAACCAGTGTATGTGCCGTCTGGGCTCTGGAGGATCACAAAAGCCACTTGAGTCAGAAAGATTCTCAAATTACAACACTTTGATGCTTTGTTGGCAAATATACTCACTAATTTCATCCCATTCTCCGTCACTTTGGAGTTGTAGTCGTCTATTTTTGCTTTAATCTCTTCTTCTGTGAGAGATATAGGCTTGTCTTCCTCTTCCTCTTTTGTGACATTCTGAAACCAAGATTAAAAAACGGTTAAAGAAACTGATAATACACATGCCCTGACACATTGCATTGCTATTGATGCTAACGTTTGCTATAGTATTTTTGTGTCAATAATGAATGTATAATAAATACCTGAATTCAATTATATACATAAAATGAAAATATATGCACAAATCCCAACTTTAAACATTAACACAGTTTTCTCATAACAATGGAGCAGGCTAAAAACAATACGAAAAACCAATGTAGTCAGAATAGAGCAGAATGTCACTCAGACAAGAGGAGGATGGTACAGATGACTACTGCTGAGATTAGAAACACTTATACAAGATACGCTGTTATCTGCCTTCACAAGATGCCATTTTATGATGTATGGCTCTTACATTACAGATAAACTACAAGCTGCTGGATTTATGCTGAGAAACACCTGGGATGATGAGTGATTCTCCACACAATACTCTAAAGACTTAATTGTCTAATGATATATTACTTTTAGTCTGTCATATATATGCTGATGTACTTCTAAATGTTGACTAAATTAACATTTTCATTTCGAATAATTCTCCTCATAATGATAAATGCAGGTGGAACAGCACATGTATCTGTCTACCCATACAGTGACTACATTTACATGGACATCAGTAATCGAATTTTTACTCAATAATCTGAAAAAGACTATAATATGATTAAGGCGTTTACATGAGATGCTTTTTGAATGTTCCTTTTATGATCCCGTTTTACATGTTACAGCACATAATTCGATTAATGCATTGTGTCACCACGCTATCTAGGTTTCCTTCTGAGTTTCATGTAATTCCAAGTGTTTCATTTGTAATTTGTTGACTTTAATTGCAGTTTGGCACTTTCACTTTCATTCAGGAACATTTCATTCATGTCCCCCATGACAAACGAGATTGTGGATGCGAGTATGAACTGCTGGAAGAGTGTAGTTTTAATGGAATTTGATACCGCATGCCGTATGGAGAAAAAAAACCTCTGCATTTCGCGATGCAGGTGTCTGTGGTCCTTCACTGACTCGGTAGGTGCAGAGAATAGTGCCAAACAACCGTGTGTGACTATCCTGTCACAAAATGCGGTGAAAATCCTACATGACGGTAATAGTTTGATTGCGGTGTTTACAAGTCTGTACTGCACTTTAATAATGAGACTTAAATTGGCATTTTCCACATTTCTTAATTCTGTTTCTGTTTAGTTCGATTATGAATATAATTAGATTAAATGAATTAAAAATCGCTGTTTACATGGTGGACTCTTAATCAGAGTATTGTTTAATCATATTAAAATCATATTATTGGTGTCCATGTAAACATACTAAGTGTGTCAAACAAATTTTCCAGCAATTTTCATGCAGGACAATAAGCCCCGACACACAGCAAAAATGGGTGAAGTGGTTCTTTGAAGATGAAAACTTTGAAATAATGAAATGGCAGACCAGATTCCCGATCTAAACCTGACTGAAAATCTTGGTGACAAAGTTAGGCTAAGCTAAGAAATGATTGTGGAAAAAAGGGAACCAAAATCATTTGAGGAGTGTAAGAGACTAGTGATGTGCAGTCAGTGTGTGTTTGTGTGTTTGTGTGTTTGTGTGTGTGTGTGTGTGTGTGTGTGTGTGTGTGTGTGTGTGTGTGTGTGTGTGTGTGTGTGTGTGTGTGTGTGTGTGTTTAGAGGATGACAGTAACAGTTTTAATGTCTCTTGAGACGTCTTTAAACAAATTCATGAGTCTATGCAAAGACATTTTTGGCCTCTGAGGAACATACAGGTCCATAATGATTTATCAATAAACAACAGGCAGAAACACCTTTCTTTTATATGTTCTCATGAATCAAATCCCCAAGGATGTGTGATTTTTTTGTATAATTTGAAAACAAATTGATTCAATGACTTTAATAGTGCGATTATGTGAAATATTGTGATTAATTTATATCATGAATGTCACAATACGTCACATTTTGCTCTATGCATGAAATAAATTTTACAAAAGTGATATTATAAATAGAGAAAGCACATTAAATGCAAACAAATGATCTACTTCAATGTTTCAGATATCTTATGTGGTAAAAATACAGTTGGGTGGAAAACATTCTATTGTATTTTAACCTAACACATATATTTATTCAAAAATAAAACAGCATACCTATTTCTGACACGTACTTAATACACAAATAATGCCTTAAACTACATTTGATTATATTTTAAGATCGTATAGCTGACAAATTGGGAAAGTCTAGTGGTTAAAAAGCTAGGGGTAAAGTATAAAGATTTAAAATGTCAGTGGATTTGTATTCTGGGCTTAAATATGCCTGACAATATTTTTGTACATAAATTATTGATGCTTGAAAAAAATCTTTTCCATCTTTGACCAACAGGCACATAAACACATAAATGCAAAGGGATTATGTGACTGAGACAATGCCTGAAAAATCAGGTTTGAATCAGGGAATTAATTACAATATTAAATTTGAACAGGATTTTGATCACATTCATGCAATAATAAAACTCATTTCTTCAAATATTATCTCAATACCACTGGCCCTCGATAGCTCAGACCTTCTTAGAAAAAAAAGACAGAAATAAAGCAGAAAGAATGATGACAGGGCACATGATGGCAAATACTCCATCGTTTCCAGTGACAGAAAGCAAAGCGTGCTCACGGAGGGGGTTTTCTAGAGGGTTTGACATCCAGCGCAGTTGCTGAGCAAGCCTTAGCAACAAAGATTCAGTCCGAGGTATTTTTAGCTACTAGCTGCATCCCCCGTAATACACGCAAAATGAGTTTCTCCCTTCTCTTTCTGGGACGAAAGAATAAGAATGAAAAAAGCTCGATCATTTATTCATTGAGATCCCCGGGGCTCCGGCATGGCAGCTCTATGTCTCATTGAGCAGAAAGAGACACAAACATTAAGCCCGAGCAGAGCGGAAGAAGAATTTATCAGGGCGTTTAGCAAACAAATTAATTTCTGCCCGACCCACACACTACAACTGCCTGGCAAGGATAAGTGTAATGGGCGGAAAGCTCCGAAATCTGCTCAAATGAGACAGAAGCAAGAAAAGAAGGCTTGTTTTGAAAGATGGAGGCTGCAGACAGGAAATGTGCAATGCTGCTGCACTTCTGCTGTTGCGTCTTGTGGTATTTGGTGACACCAAAAAATGGAAATGCAACAAATGAAGCGACAAAATCCTCAGTGAGGGGTAAAACTGCTTTAAATGTCAGATTTTCATTTAGACAGTAGCACTGGAAGGTATATTAAATGGGATATATTAGGTAATGGATGGCATGCAAGATAATTAATGAACTGCAACTACATTCCTTTTTAGTGGAAAATGTACATAAATACTTGGCAGGATTATGGATTTACTGTGAAATTACCTTTTCTTTTTTTATTCAATGCTCTTAAACTTGTAAAAAACGAATACTGCATGTTTATACAGTGTAGTCAGGCTTAGGATGAACTAGATAATTAATTAGGTTTTGTGGAAAGAGTTGGGTTATGGGTGGCAGTGAAGTTAAAAGTGCCACTAGAAATTAATTAAATGAAAGTACCTACATAGCAATGTTACATTTTACAAAATACCCAATAAAGTAAAAGTAACAACAAGGGTTCAGGTTATGTTTATCATACAAAATAATTATTAGTGTTGTAATGATTTTGCAAATATATTTAAACATTTTTTTAACAGAGAGTAAGAATAGATAAAAAAAATAATAATATTGAAAAAAATAAAAAATGCTTACAATCAAGGCATTATTATAATTATTTTTAAAGCTAAATTACCTAAGGAATAATATATTATGAACATTTAAAACATTTAAAATGGTGGCTCAGTGGCTAGCACTGTCACCTCACAGCAAGAAGGTTGCTGGTTTGAACCTCGGCTGGTTCAGCTGGCATTTCTATGTGGAGTTTGCATGTTCTCCAAAAAAATGAATGAACGAACGAATGAATGAATGAAAGCATGATTTGACATTCTTATACTAAAAAGGATTCTTTCTCAAAAAAAAAAAAAAAAAGGTCTTTAGAAAGCATTCAGAAAGATCTCATGGCCTGTGTAATAAACACTCATGCATTTTACATCCCACTTACTTCTGCAAATCTCTCTATACATGTAGACTAGAGACAATGTGCAGTTGGGTGAGATACCCACAAACACATCTGTGTGATAGCTCAATGCAAAAACAAAAATAAAAATAATAATAAAATAAAAAATAAAACTGTAAATAATAGGTATTTGACCTTATTATAATTATTCGATTTCTTTAATTGTGACTTTACATTTAAATTGTTAAGCACCGTTTTCAACAAAAATTTCAATGTAGTTCAATTGCAATGTCAGTTTGATCACATACTAGTCTGTCATGCATAACACATTGCAGACACATAGTTTGACATTTGTCAAAAACAAAAATCATTTTTAATGCAATGAAAAAACTTCTGTTTTCAGGTCACTGCTGTCATGTGAACACAGCCTAAATGTAAAAAAGTGTGTACTGTAATATTTCTGGTGGTCTTTGGAGGCACAAATAGTGAACGTTTTGTACCAGTTTTAGTCAATAAACCAAAAAAAAAAAAAACATATTTACATTTCAAAACTGTCATTCACCAGCTTTAGGCATATTTAGTTTCTGGGTGATTCTAGAATTGCAGGTACATTTTGCATCTTCTTCATAAACCTATGATTTAAAAAAAGAAAAAAAAAAACTTTAAATGAAACAGATTTGCATAATAGCACAAATAATATTAAGTAATCAGTAAAAAATAATGTTTGTTTGTGTACTTAGCAACATTATGTCTTTAAAAATATTCATTTAAAGACTCCCACTATTTTTGTCTTTTTCCACCTCCTGAATCATGAATTAAGTCAAGTTTTTATTCTTTTTTGTGTTATTAGAGGTAAATAAAGTTCAATGTTACCAATCTAAGTTTCAATTTCATGATCTTTTATTTTTTATTATTTCTTCAATTATATTCTGTATTACTAATAATTTC